GTTGTTTTTTTTTTTTTTTTTTTTTTTTCTAATGGTGTTACGTGATTTCAGCACTCTCAAAATTAGTGGGTAATTCTTATTTACAGCTGTGAAATTTTAATTTTGTCACTATAGAAATTGAAATAAGGATAAAAAAAGTCTCGATTATCCTAACAATGGAAGTATAATAGAAATATGAAAAATTATCCATCAATGACTTTAATCCATGTTCTCCTCGGTTGACGTTGTTATCTACATGGGACGCTTAACTTTAAGTGTTAAACATGGAATAAATGTTTAACCATACTTAGAGAGTGATTCTACCATTGGGGTTAGAAAATGCATCAACAATAACCGATATCTTGACTAGTGGGACCTATTTTTCATGATTGTTTCATGAGTTCTATGTTTTTTTAGTAAAATTGGATGTATAGTACTTCTCTACACGGTTTATGATCGAATCAGCCTAGCAGCTGACTCACCAGCCATGACTCACGCATGCATCTTGCCTACACAATTGGCATGCATGCAACTTGAAGAAGCTATTCTTGGAACATGACCTTGTATTGTTTGATTCAATTTTTACCCATTCTTTCCTACATTGATTTGAGAGAGGAATGAGTGTCAGCAAGGACGCTGGGTTCCAAAGGGGTGAATCGTGAGATCCCACATTGGTTGGAGATGGCAATGAAACATTCTTTATAAGGGTGTGGAAGTCTCTCCCTATTAGATACGTTTTAAAAATCTTGAGAGGAAACTCGAAAGGAAAAATTCAAAAAGGACAATCTCTGCTAGTGGTGGGTTTGGACTGTTACACTTTCATTATTGTATTATCTGTTGGCAAAACTGGATAACAGTTGGGATGAGTTTAGTGGCTAGTGATAAGGTACGGGTCGATCAAGTATCAGACAAATTGATTGATGTAAGTTTGATAATGGTAAATTTTTATGTCAATGATGAAGTCTTTTGATGGAACAAAAAACAAAGGCATGAGAATTTGTGTTCAAAGTGGACAATTTCATACTATTGATGAAGTCTTTTGTCACTTGTAAAAACATGAGAGAATAGAAATAAGTACAAAGACATAATTAGTACCGTATTTGTAGGCTCATAATCATGTCAACGAAGATTGATAGGGTACCACACTCATATCTTGTCATGTTCTTGTTTTTGTCCTAAGAGTTTAGGCCCTTAAATTCTGTTCATGAATTTTGAGTTTTGTCATGGTCTAGCCCGTGTAGTTTGATCCTTGATTTTGAATTCTTAACCTTGATTCTGATCTAAAGATTTTAGTTTTAAGTTTTAGGGTTCTTAGTAATGAGAATTTGGATCTTAATTGTTTTTGTTTCTTGTATCTTATTTCTTATTTTGTTCTATAAGGCACTTTCTCTAGGATTTACAATACGAGATGTAAATCTGATAACCTGTGTCCAAGCTTCATGTGTTTCAAGCGACACTACTTGAATCTATGCTTGAATCTACGCCCAATGTTTCATGTAATCCAGTGCGATTCGATTTGGAGGCTTAACGTTCTTACCAATCTTTGAGGCTTTCTAGAATTCTTTCTTCCCGCGTGATTTGGCTTTAGATTCCTTCCCAAAAAAATTGCAAGAACTCAACTAAAACAACGTAAAAAAAAATTACAGAGGCTAATTCCATCAAATACTCATAGATCTTAAGGAAAACTCGAGATTGAATCGAACACCCAAAATGAATCTCCAAATCCTAACTATGCCAACACAATTATTATAGAAGATGGATAGCCAACATGATACGATGAATGAGAACCAGTGCTGATGTTGAGTGTTAAAAAATCGTCACTAGCTCAACGGGGTCAAGTCCAATAATTGTGAGGCCCAATTATCAAGAAAACTAATCAGCCCACCTAGAGTACAAGTATTAAAGAGTAAATACTCACGTTCTTTATTAAGACTAACGAAGAAAAGATGAAAAGACACTCTTTAGGACTCACTATACTTTGCATTACGTGAATGATAGAGTTGGTGAGGTATTAAAAGATCATCATCAGCTCAATGGGTTCAAGCCCAATAATTGTGAGTGCCCAATTAAGAGTGAAGACTATCTAAGAGGTATTACTCTAATACCATTTGTCACATCTCATGCCCAAGATTCGGATTCAAAGCAGGATTCGACATCTAATGACCTCGACGTTTCTCGAACCAATGCCAGTTCTTCCAACATGTTTTGTATAAGTATTGACTTTTAATTCTTTTAGGTTTAGTGGTATAGTATGTGATTTTTTTTTTTTTTTTAAGTATCTCCGTTGTTCTATACTTAAGATCTCTATCATTCGGATTAGTCTCCGTTCATTCTTGTATCCCTTATTTATTTATTTTTATTTTTCTTAAGGAATAAATTTATTTACAATCTAATTTCATTCAACAATTTTTCATATTATTAATCTTTAAAGGATCCCAAATAAACACAAACCAAACCCATTTATTTCTAATTATTACAAATTCCATAAAATTCCTTATCTTTGTCTCATCAAACTCATGAACTCATGAACCAGGATACATAGCCTGAGTTAGGTTGGGTTGAGGGATTCTTTTAGACCCAATCCAATAGGTTGGTTGGATTGGTAACCCAACCCAACCCTTTGTTTTCGGGTTGGGTTCGAATTGGGTTGTTAAATTTTTTTTTTAAGTTTTATTTATCCACGATTTATAATTAGGTGGACACAATCTTAAATAAAATATATTAAGAGTTCACAAACAAACACAAATCAATCTATAATTATTCACACAAAAAAATAATAAATAAATTCAATAAAAACAACGAGCGAAAATTGTAATATATTAACATAGTTCAACCTTATCATAAAATGAAAAATAATTCAATACAGACATTTCTTGAGAATTGGTTAAACTAACCTAAAAGAATAACCTACATTTCTTGAGAATTGGTAAGTAACAAAAATATAAGGATAGATCATTAATACAGGAGAATTCTTAATATATTTTATATATGTTTATTTGACTTGTGTCAATCCGAAGGTTTTGTCCACGAACTCGAAACCGAACCGATTCAGTTCGGGTTCAAAAAAATGAACTCAACCTTACTCGAAATGCTAATCCAACTCAACCCAATCCAACCCTTATAGTTCGGGTTCGGTTGGTTCGGGTTGTTGGGTTGAGTGTACACCCCTATCATGAACACCCCGTAACCCGACATAAAATTTCATAAATTAATTTAAATAAAAATTATATATAAAATTAAAATATTTTGTTATAGTGCAATTAATGTTTGATCTCTTGATAATTGATTTCCCATGGATGAAGGCACGAATCAACACCCAAATAAAAAGATTTCTAAATCGTTAACAAAATAATCAGTAATTTCTCCTTATTTTCTCCCTTAATTTGTGGTTTAATAAAGACATTATCTAAATAATTATGATTTTATTTTATTTAAATTTATTTCCAACATACAAAAAAATAATAATAATAAAATAAATAAATAAACACCTCCCTCTTAAATTCCCTTATTCTTACCATCCTTTTTCTTCTCTTCTACAGCCAGAAAACCTGTTCCGTCAACACCTCCGCCGCACCGCCGCCGTTGCTGGTCGTGACTGTCTTGTCACGTGACATTGCTGTGCTGCACGTGATCTTCTTCTACATCAACAGTGAGTTTGTGTTTTTCTGCAATTGGGTTATTAGTAGTTTTCTCATTCGATTTGATTAACGTTAAAAAGATCGAATTTTTAGGGTTTTAAGGTTTTTAAAAAAGTTGTTTGTTTTTTTTTTTTTTCCGGTTCTTCTTTTAGGGTTTTGTTGAAATAAAATTCATAATTTTTGTGATTGAGAATATGGGGCGAGGAAAACTTAGCATGCAATTGATCGGTAATGAAAAATCTCGAAAGACAACTTTTCTTAAGCGGAAGAAAAGTTTGTTGAGAAAAGCTTATGAGCTCTCGACACTTTGCGACGTTCGTGCTTGTGTCTTTGTCTATGGCCCGAACCATAACGACCAATCTCCCGTCGAACTCAACACGTGGCCACCGTGTCGAGAGGAAGTCAACAATATGATTGCTTCATACAAGGCTAATTGTCTCCACAAACGAGCTCGCAAGGC